CATCACGACCTGCGTGCGTCGATTGTGGAAGAAATCAAAGAAATCGTGAGGAGATACAAGAAGCGGGGCGAAGCTTGGTACAACGTCGATGAAAACTACGTACAGGTCATGGGAGAAGCGACGAGACTGAAGGAGATGGCGATGAACAAGATCAACTTCTGGCTTGACGGTACTGGAGACTTTCAATGTGAGGCACTTGCAGCACAAAAGATGAAAGATCTCTACATGACGAAGATATCAGACTTGCATCGCAGAGCACTGAGCGATACGGGCGATCAAGACGGGCAGAGGCTGGCGGAGCAGTTCTGCAAAATGCAAGGGATCTGGGGAGGTGAACAAGACTCGGAGCTGGAGTCTCCGATCTTCACGGCAGTGCGGCAGGGGCAGGCAGACCTGATACCGATGATCTGCCGGGCAGGAGGGAAAGTGACGGAGACCTTGAGCAACGGAGACACGCCATTGCACGTGGCAGCCAGACAAGGATACAAACTTTGCATGCAAATGCTTGTCAAGCATGGAGCCAATGTGTCGACAAGAAACAAAGACGGAAGGACATGCGCGCACTTGGCTTGCGCAGGAGGGCATGTAGAGGCGCTGAAGTACCTGGGGGAGGTAGGGGGCCGCGAGCTGCTGGCCCAGCCGGACATGGACGGCTTCACATGCGCGCACGAGGCGATCAAGCAAGGGCATGTAGAGGCGCTGAAGTACCTGGGGGAGGTAGGGGGCCGCGAGCTGCTGGCCCAGCCGGACATGGACGGCTTCACATGCGCGCACTTGGCGGGCGAGGGAGGGCATGTAGAGGCGCTGAAGTACCTGGGGGAAGTAGGGGGCCGCGAGCTGCTGGCCCAGCCGGACAATCAAGGAAGGACATGCGCGCACTGGGCAAGTGAGAGAGGGCATGTAGAGGCGCTGAAGTACCTGGGGGAGGTAGGGGGCCGCGAGCTGCTGGCGCTACCGGACCATGAAGGCTGGACATGTTGTTATTTGGCAAGCGCAGGAGGGCATGTAGAGGCGCTGAAGTACCTCGGGGAGGTAGGGGGCCGCGAGCTGCTGGCCCAGCCGGACATTGATGGAAGGACATGCGCGCACTTGTCTTGCGGTGCAGGGCATGTAGAGGCGCTGAAGTACCTGGGGGAAGTAGGGGGCCGCGAGCTGCTGGCCCAGCCGGACAATCAGGGCTGGACATGTGCACATTTACTCAGCGAGGGAGGGCATGTAGAGGCGCTGAAGTACCTGGGAAAGGTAGGGGGCCGCGAGCTGCTGGCACAACCAGGTCCACAAGGAAGACATTGTACCAATTTAGCGAGCGCAGGAGGGCATGTAGAGGCGCTGAAGTACCTGGGAAAGGTAGGGGGCCGCGAGCTGCTGGCCCAGCCGGACAATCGAGGAAGGACATGCTTGCACGAGGCGGGCGAGGGA